CCGAAGGGTCCAAGGACCCAAATAGTTATATAATAAGGTTTTAGAGCCCAAATACCATAGTATGAATGGTATCTGGGCCCTAAAACCTTATTATTTGGGTCCTTGGACCCTTAGGGGAAACCTTACACGCAAAACCCTACGCACCGAAACACCCCACCCTGAACCCAAAGCCAAGAATCAATGCGCTGAGTATTGCAAGTACCAGTATTACGATTCTTGCTAGTATTGCTAGCATTACTCTTACAACCACTACTACCCAGATGATCACTATTTCTTTTCGTTGATATATTTCCCGGCCAAAAGAAGCCAGAATCAAAGGGCTGACCCCACCTCATGTAAACCTGCTCTTCCAGCTGATTCTCCATTATCACGCGAAAGCCTAGCCCCTGAATAATGTAGTAATCTCTATTCCATTCCCATTCCGAAACCCTCTATACCTCGACGCAACACATATATCCCCTAGCAAGAGATTTTATAAGTCCCGCTGAAACATAGACTCTAATACGTACTGCGGTGCCGCGCCTCACATGCCTTGTTGCTGCCCATGAAAGCCGCCATCATTAGCGCGCTCACCCCATGCTCGTCAACCAAGTTGCCTGATTTGACATGTGACTTGGAGGGTCCGCGGGGCTTACAAAGTAGGTTCTTAATGGGGATTACTAGGGTACTAACCTACTTACTAGTTTCCCTGACCCTGCAAGTACAGGTTCATCGACTTGAGGGTCTAGGGTGTAGTAGAGCTTATAAGGAGACATCGCATTTTCTAGAAGAAGATGGGAGCCACACTGGGTGTACAAGACGTAGGAATGTTTAGGATTCAGTGATACTGTACTGGATCATCAAGTGGAAGAGGAGATGGAAAATCTAGGGTTCCATGGGCAGGGTGTGGATCTGGGGGTTCTCAAGTTATGGTCCCTTATGGTGCACTCTATACGTCCTAGGTGCTGTATTAGATTGGGTACTCCCAAAGGGGACCATGATGCTGACAACTCCCCGTATAAGGTTCATGCCCTAAGGCAGTCAAGAGAGATGAGGTGGAGCAGCGGGACCGGCAGCGGTGGGACCTAAATCAACATTCATAATGGTACTTTGGGTCATTCCCCCTTACAGTAACTGTTACCACAATGGGTTATAGGAGTTATAAGAACCCCCTTAATAAGGCCCCCTTTAAGGACAGATACTGGGAGGGGAATGACCCAAAGGGTACTGTAGGAGCCCAAAGAATTACCAATATTGTGTTGAGACCTGCTTGAAATATCCTATGCCATAATTTTACGAGGAATCTAGGACCAGTAAAGTAGGAATGACTCAGGCTTTCACAGTAAGCTTCTGGCGACTGTGAAAGCAAGAGTGGGAGAATACAGGCAACAGCGGAGATCCCGACCCGAGTTGCAGCCAGTGCTTTCTGCGCACCACAACCAAAATATTGAACGGAAAACCCTTAACATTACAGCTTAGATACTGCCCCCCCCACCCCACCTTACTGCCACCCCGCTCACACCTTTATGACAATCCCCAAAAAATTGTAATTCAAGCGATATTTAACCCTTAATAAAGGGTGCAGTATATGACTAGTAAAACAAGGTTTGGGCAGGAGCCATAAACCCCAAAAAACATGATGCAGTTGATACTCAAAACCCTGCATGACCTGGTATACTACGGTACCACCTGGAGCTAGGACGAGTTTTCAGATCTATACATCCCGATGAAACCCCTCTTTCTCATGTCTCCACTGTTCTAATCATTTGGGCCGTGGAACTCGGCACCCCTAAACCCGGAAACCTAATCCCTCAGCCCTGAACCCTAGACCCCTAAACCCCTCAACCCCAAACCCTGAACCTTGCAGCCAACAGAATGTAAGTCTCCCTGACCCTCCAAGTAAGGTTTAGGGCTTAGGGTTGAAGGTTTAGGTTTGAGGGCTTTGGGCTTAGGACCCTCCAGGCTAAAAAGCCCAACATTCCCAGTACTTAGGATTTGGGGTTTAGGGCTCTTAGGGATATACATGTGGTCCCTTTGGAGGGGATATGGGGTTCCAAGATATAGTGCGTACGGGTTCAGGAATGAGGAGAAAACGCAAGCTATTGCCTTAGTCAAGGTTCGGGTTTTAGGGTTAAGGGTAGTAACAATCATAGGGGAATGACACAGACTGTTACGGAGTATGATATTAAAAATATTATCGGGATACAATCCCAAATTCTCTACTAAGCGCAGGCCAGGAGACCCTTTCATGCCCCCTTAGCTCCCAAAGCCCTAAACCCTCAGCCCTAAACCCCAAACCCTAAACCCTAAACCCCAAACCCTAAACCCTAAACCCCAAACCCTAAACCCTAAATCCTAAATCCTAAATCCTAATCTTGCGAGAAAAACGGCTAAGCTATGGTTGCCCCCGGCCTTTGATGCCGTCTTTCATGGCGGCTTCAAGCTTCTCCACCTCATCGTTCGGACTCGATTCTAATGTTTAGGGTTTAGGGTTTAGGGTTTTTAGGGTTTAGGGTTTTTAGGGTTTAGGGTTTAGGGTTTTTAGGGTTTAGGGTTGTTAGGGTTCAGGGTTTAGG